CGAGTCTAGGGATGAAACGGGACAGTGAGACTAACCTTCCGGCTAGGCGTTGGACTTATTTCACTGTTTGAGGACTCTGCATTTGGATAATGGCTTTGCACTTCTCAGGGTTGGCTTCGATTCCTCTGCTAGTGATCATAAAACCGAGGAACTTACCTCCCTGGACGCCGAAGACGCACTTCTCCGGGTTGAGACGCATGTTATGTCTCCAGATTTGGCTGAACACCTCGGCGAGGTCGGCTGCATGGTCTGCGACTGAGGTGGTTTTGACCACCATGTCGTCAACGTAGACCTCCATATTCCGGCCAATTTGCTGGTGGAAAACCTTGTCCATCAGTCGCTGGTAAGTGGCCCCCGCGTTCTTGAGACCGAAGGGCATCACTCGATAGCGGTAATTGGCGTGATCAGTGATGAATGACGTGTGCACCTCGTCTGGTGGGCACATCATGATTTGGTTGTACCCGGAGTAAGCGTCGAGGAAACTGAGGAGGGCGTGCCGGATACTCCATCGACCAGCCTATCGATGCTCGGCAAGGGGTATGAGTCCTTAGGGCATGCCTTGTTCAAGTCGGTATAGTCGACGCACATTCACCATTTCCCCGAGCTCTTTTTTACCAATACCACGTTTGCCAACCATGTGGTGTACCTGACCTCGCGGATGAAGCCAGCGTTCAGCAATTTTTGTGTCTCGGTGATGATGGCCTCCCGTCTTTCACCACCGACCTTCCTCTTTCTCTAGGCCACTGGCCTTGCCTCCTTGTGTATTGCTAACCTGTGACAGATGAAGTCAGCGTTTATACCTGGCATGTCAGCACTGGACCAAGCGAAGAGGTCGGCGTTCTTGAGGATCTCAGCTCCGAGCTACTATCGCAACTTTAGGCTCAATTGCCTGCTGATTCTTGTGCATTTCCCGGGGAGTTTCCCGATCTAGAGGTCGTCGAGCTCGTCAATGGGACTAGGCCGTTCGTCATGGGAGTCGGACCTTGGATCGAGATCAGCGATTTCCACGTGGGTGATGTGAGCCACTATGGGAGGATCGCTGCGGCGACGCTCGTCGGGCGAGGAGACTCTCAGGCTTTCGGCGTAGCATTGCCGGGCTGTCTTCTAATTTGCTTTGACGGAGATGATTTTACTGTCACTTCCTAGGAACTTCATGGTGAGGTGCGGGTGGACACCACTGCTCCGAGTTGATTTAACGTCGGTCTCCCAATGATGATATTATAGGAGCTGTTGGCTTCCACAAGGAGGTATCGGACCATAATTCTCCTTGTATCCGAAGAGGTTCCGAAGGTGGTCAGCAGGTCCACGTATCCCCGAGTGTGTACTCGCTCTCCTGCAAAACCGACTAGGGGCTCTATGTGAGGTTGGATGAGAGAGTGAGGGATGTCTAACCTGAGGAAGGTCGGCCAACACAGGACGTTTGTCGAGCTCCCTTGGTCTATCAGTGTCTTGTGAACCTCCCAATTAGCTACCTCCACGGCTATGACCATGGGATCATCCTGGTTGGGACTAACGCCAGCATAGTCGTCATCGGTGAAGGTGATCGGCGGTGAGCTTTGGTGCGAGGCCGAGATAGTGGAGTGGATGTTGTTGATATTGCGCAGGCGCCTCTTCCGGGCTGAGCTTCTGGCGCCTCTTCCGGGCTGAGCTTCTGGCGCCTCCCCCTGCGAAACCACCTGTAATTGTGTTAATCACTCCCCGTAGAGGGGCTGACCCTGTCTCCTGGCTTACCTCGGCTTGCACTACTCCACCGACGTTTTGCTGAGAACCAGAGGGTTGGTCCGTGCAAGCTCCCGAACCATGGCCTCTGCCTCGCCCTCGTTCACCATAGCCTCCTCGGTGACCCTACTGTCTTTGGACATATTGGCCAAGGTGGCCTGCCTGGATGAGTTCCTCAATCCGGTCTCGGAGCGTGCGGCACTCTTCGGTGGTGTGACCGTGGTTCCTGTGGTACCGGAAGTGTTTGGACTTGTCCGCACTGTTGGGTATATGACCTGGGGGTGGCAGGGTGAGCAGGTTGCTGTTACTAGCCTCCTCCAGGATGTGAACTCTGGGCGTGTTCAGGGGAGTGTAAAAGTCGTATCTCCCCCTTTGCTTGTCCTAACAGTTTTCTTGAACTGGCTGTCGTTGGTGGCCCTCATCTTGTCCTTGTGGCCACTGTCAGTCTTTGCTTGTGATTTTCCGCGAACTTGGTCACGAAAGGCGGAGTGTTCCTCCATTTGGATATACCCAGCAGCACGGGTGCGGAGCTCGTCCATATCGCAATGAGCTTCACGACATAGACTGTTGACGAATGGTCCAGGCTTGAGTGCCATGAGCATGGCGTGCAGGGCGATCTCGGGATTCAGATTCCTGATCTTTACTGAGGTGGCGGCAAATCGTTCCATGAACGCCCAGAGTGGCTCGTCGTCGTTCTGTCTGAGGCTGGCCAGGGCGGCCGACGTGATGTGATGAGGTCGGCTCGTTGCATACTGCGCCGTGAATCGCCTAACCAGAGTGCTGAAACTTTCGATTGACTCAGCGGGGAGCTGGGTGTACCAATTGAGTGCAGCCCCCTTGAGTGAGGTCGAAAAAACCTGCACAGTATAGCGTCCTCATTAGTATAGAGGTTTACCTGTGTGGTGTATAGATCGATGTGCTCGTCCGGATCTGTTGTGTCGTCGTAACGGTCGAGGTGGAGAGGCTTCCACCCAAAAGGGAGAGGTGTCTCCATGATGCCGTCCACATAAGGATGACAGCGGAAGGTCGTCTGATTCCCTGTGCCGTGGGCGGGGGCGTTGCTGACATCATGTGCCGACCTGTTCGTCGGTGCGTGAGACCGATGTGTGGCAGGCTTGGGAGTCGGTGCCCTAGCCGCCGTTGGCGGTTGAGAAACCGAGTGCCCTTCATCCTCATTTAGGTTACTCTGTGAGGGGGTTGATCTGAGGGACGCCGAGGGAGTTGAGCGCGAATACGCTCGTTCTCGGCGCGTAGTGCCGCTAGGTCAGCTTCATTAGCGGTACACATTGCTACTAGGTCAGTTTTGTGCTTGGCACGCATACTTTGTAGATCGGCGGCGTGTTGTTGCCGCATCTGCTCGACCTGCTCGATCAGTCTTCTTAATGCTGCTTCACTATCCATGGTAGTGGTGTGATCTAGGTCGTCTGTTGCGCGTCTGCTATGGCTTCTGGTGAAACCCATAAGCATGGCCGATAAGAGGTGTCTTGATCGACCCCATGGCGGGCGCCAAATGTTCTTACCGGGGATCTGAGGTAGACTTGATCCGTTGGGTAAGGTCGGTGAGCCTCCTTCACTGGTACGCTTGATGTTCCAAGATGGGGGTGGTACCTGCAAAAAAGACTTCGATGCTAAAGTTAGGGTTTGTATGAGCATGTGTCTCGTATAAGTAATGCACGTACCTTAGTGTGAATTAGGGTTGCGTCGGGCCTTGGGCCTAAGATCAGTTATGATCTGATTAGATAGCGGATCTCGTCTGGACCGAGATCTCTTGGGGTCAGTTATGATCTGGCTAGATAGCAGATCTTGTCTAGACCGAGATCTCCCAGCGCATGTCCAAGGTCATTCTACGTTGTGATGCCGAGCTCGAGCTCGGCATGGCGATACGGATAGTACAATTACCAAGTAATATTTTCTATCAATTATAAGAAAAATCTTCCTCCAATGGGAGTTCCTTGTCCCATGAAGCAACTCGAACCTTGGTTTCTTGCCATTGGAGGACTCTAACGTGGCAACATGAGTTGCTTGAAGAAGAGAGAGAGTTGTTTCCTCAAGCAACTGTTCCTTACTAGATTTCAAACAGATCTTATTAAACATATTTGGGAACGTTTCGAAAATAATAATGATGAAAATTAATTTAATTTAATATTTATGTATTTACTATTACTTTATTTTATTTTTAATATCTACTTATTGTATATTTTTTCTCGTAATTTATTTTCTTCCATTGTACTTTTTAATAAAATTTTAAATTTAGTTCATAAATGACTAGAAAAAAAATTCTAAAAGTTGAATTTCTTAAAGTTTCTTACCATTAGAGTAAATTTGTGTTTGAGTTGCTTAATGCTGACATGACACACTAGGGATCACTTTTTTCATTTTTCAATGCATGTAAGTTGGAGATGCCCTAAGTAGGTAAACATTTTCTCTCAATTTAAATTTTTTACTGAGACGTTTATTATAAATTAATTGATCAAACAAAAGTTATCTATATATATATATACTAAAATGGAACATTTCTAAATATAGAAGCTAAAATATAAAGTTTAAAAAATTAGAAAAAAAAAGTTTAAAGTATTTATAAAATTAATCGTCATTAATCGTCTTTCTACTTAAAAACAATACAACACACCTTTACTTTGTTAAAAATATTATTAGGATATAAATAAAATAAAAATTAATTAATAACACTTATTTTGTAATTATAGTTTTTTACAAATCACTTATTATGAGAGTTAAGAAATTTTCTGGTTTTTTTTTCATTCCTATTTATTTATTATATGACCAATCATCTTGTTCATAATCAATAGATATATTGTCTAAATGATACTGCACTCGATTGCTTTAAATAAAATTTCATGTTCGGATCTTTTATATGAAAAAAAAACATGATTAATAAGGAATATATCTCACTAAAAATTGTGGATCAGATTTTCTGACAAATATATATAAACAAAGTCGCTAGATATTTTATATAAATAACACTATAAAAAAAATAAAAAATAAAAAGTCAACTTGTCCACACCTCAGACGGAAAACCCTATTGCCCCAAAAGTCTTGAGCAATTTTGACACTGAATCCGTCAAGTACGCCATTGGAAATTAATGTTCAAAATGAGCAATTATCTCATATGTACACAACACATACTACAATAGACCTAATAGTCCAAGTCAATTCATATTCAACAGCAAACTCAAAAGTCAAAACTATAATGTCATTATTAATAATGCAACCATTATTTGAATAGCCAATAGAGACTACATGCATTTCAATTTTCAGCAGTTATGTCATTTCATTTAACTTCGATTCTATACTTTGTTGTCCTCATCATCACCCTTTTGCCACAAAACTCTGATGGTTCCCTGAACCCAAAGTTTGAAGCTTGTGAAGCCAAAACATGTGGCAATAACCAAACCATAAGCTACCCTTTCTACATTGAAGGGATACAAGAGCCCTTTTGTGGGTACCCTGGTTTTGGCCTCTCTTGTGGCAACGATGGCTTCCCATTTCTCAACATGTCCAATGCCAAATACATGATCCACCAAATATTTTACAACAACAACTCAATGCGTGTGTCAAATGCAGTGTTTTCAACACCAAACACTAGGAGTAGTTGTCTTCGTCGTACACACAACCTCACTCTTTCGGGTACGAGGTTGGCTCTAGCTCCCAACCAAAGGGAACTTATTTTGTTGTTCGGATGTGACATGCATGGAAAAAACACAATTGGATGTTCTGAAGAAAACAAAACGAGTTCGGTTGTGGCCATGAATAGGGAAGACCAAAACTTGAGGTTTTCTTTGATGAATTGCAAGGGTGGGGTGGTGAATGTGACGGTGGAAGATGAGGTAAGAGGGGTTCAAGAAGCATTGAGAAGAGGGTTTGTGTTGATTTGGACTGTTAGTGATTGCAACAAGTGCAGAAACAGTGGAGGGAAGTGTGGCTTTAACACAGACATATTCAGTTTCAGATGTTACTGCCCTCATGATACTCATGCAAGGAAATGTTCCCAAGGTTAGCTTCTTCTCCCTTTGTTTTGTATTTTTGAAAAATTATATAAAAAATAATAAAAAGTACTAGCCACTATCTTTTTAATACTCTATTAAATATTAGTTTTTTGTGATGGCATGTGTATTTGTATCAATTGGAATTTACTAATTCACACTACTTATTCTGCAGAAAAATCTGGAAATTCGATTGTTATATTGGCAACAGGTGATGCATTTTACATATTTAAGTATCAATGCTAAGTTATATGTTTGCTAATTGACTCTTCCACTTATTATTCTCAAAGGAAGCACCAGGATTGGCAGTGTATACATAAAGAAATAAACAAGCAACATAAATGGAAAGTAATGATTCTTGTGAACATACATGATAAAATGGAAGTTTAATTTATTGTACTTGAAGTAAAGACCTCATTCTGTGTTTCCACAATGCTTTTTAACAGCTCACGGTTTCTAATTTTATTAATTCCAGTTTTTGCTGCTGCGGGATTTGGAGTTTTAATTATTGCAGTATACTGTTTTAGAAGGAAACTACGGTTCATATTCTGGAAGGAGAAATCTAGAGCAAATCAAGATTTTGAGGTCTTTCTCAGGAATTATGGACCACTTGCTGTAAGAAGATATAGCTACATAGAAATAAAGAAAATGACCAACTCTTTCAAAGAAAAATTAGGCCAAGGAGGCTATGGAAGTGTGTTCAAAGGGAAGTTAGAAGATGAATCTCTAGTTGCCGTTAAGGTTTTGAATGAGTTAAAAGGAAATGGAGAAGAATTCATCAATGAGGTAGGAAGTATTAGCAAGACTTCTCACGTGAACATTGTCACACTCATTGGTTTTTGCTGTGAAGAATCCAAGAAAGCTTTAGTCTATGAGTTCATGGCTAATGGGTCTCTAGAGAAGTTCATATTTGAGACTAATAACTTGACAGATGATTGCCAATTGAATTGTGAAATGTTGTACCAAATTGCAATTGGTGTTGGTCGAGGACTAGAGTACTTGCACAGAGGATGCAATACTCGAATATTTCATTTTGACATAAAGCCTCACAACATATTGTTAAATGAGAACTTTTGCCCAAAGATCTCTGATTTTGGACTTGCCAAAATATGCCCCATAAATGAGAGTGTTGTGTCTATGATGACTGCTAGAGGAACAATAGGATATATTGCTCCTGAGGTATTTTGTAGAAATATTGGGGTAGTATCTCACAAATCAGATGTTTATAGTTATGGAATGATGGTGTTGGAAATGGTTGGGGGAAGAAAGAATATTAATGTTGAAGTTGATTCCACAAGTGAAATATATTTTCCTTATTGGATTTACAAACGTTTGGAACTAAATCAAGAGCTTGCACTAAGGAATGTTGTGAATGAAAGTGAAATAGAAAAGATTAAAAAGATGGTATTAGTAAGTTTGTGGTGTATACAAACTAATCCTTCACACCGTCCAACAATGCATAGAGTGGTGGAGATGCTTGAAGGGAACGTTGAAACCATACAAGTACCACCAAAACCTTTCTTATCATCTCCTTCAACATCACCACATTCTTCTCCCTCTCGTTGACATAATTAATGGTTTCCTGTTGTATGTATCATTTACATTTGACAATAAATATCTCCATCCAAAAAGGTCTAATTGTTCAGTTTAATTTATAGAAAGACTCATCAGTAGGATTTTGTTCAACTATGGCCTTTCTTGTGAAAATAAAGTATTTGTGTTATCAATAAAAATTATATTAATGAAAGTATAGTTTGAATCTAAAATTTTGTATTTATTATTCTAATATATTTTTTTACTAAATTGATTCTAATAGTTCAGTTGTACTTACCAATGATCGTTCATTTTGTTACCCATACTTGGAGTTGGGAAACATAAATAAAATAATTTTATGTAATATAGTAATTGTTTGTAATCGGCAAATCAATAAATTGAGGTAACTTTCCAAAATTTGATTTTTCCCTCTATATGTTTCTGTTGGAGATCAGCGCATATCAATCAAAATCTGTTGGAGATTAGCATATATCAATCAGAATATTCAATTCTGATTTGTACAGATTTAATGTTAATAAGATCAATTTTATTTCCCCTCTTTTAATTATTTAGATACAGCATTTATAGGGAGAATTATTTCCCAGATTTTTAGGGATAGATTAGTGTGCAGATTTATCCCCTTGTATTCTATTTATACTACTTTTGTATTTTTTTCCAAATCAGAGAAATATACATTATATTTTTCCGCATGGTATCAGAGCCCGATCTGAACCATCCCTAACCTAGCACCGCCAACCATGGGAGAGAACAAGGCAGAAGGTTCGACCACCAATTTGGTGGAAGGGCCTGCTCTTCCTATCACTGATCACAAATTGAATGGCCAGAACTACCCTCAATGGGTGCGAGTAGTTAATATCTTTCTTCAAGGAAAAGGGAAGGAAGGTTACATCACTAGAGACTCCAAGAGTCCAGAAAAGGGTGACCCTAATCTCAACAAATGGCAACTGGAAAACAGTTTAGTCATGTCATGGTTGCTCAACACCATGACTAATGAAATTAGGGAAAATTTCATGTACTATGATACTTCCAAGGAGATGTGGGATGCAGTGAAGGAAACCTACTCAAATGTGGACAATACGTTTGCAGTATTTGAGATCAAGAGCATACTCCATGACCTGCGACAAGGTGATTTCTCAATCACCGAGTATTTTAATACACTCGGTAGACATTGGCAACAACTAGATATATATGAACATGTTCAATGGAGCTGTACCGAGGATAAAAAGAAGTATAAAGAATTGGTAGAGAAAGATAGGATCTACAAGTTTCTATTGGGGCTAAACACAGAACTTGATGAAGTCTGGGGGAGAATCCTTGGAACCAAACCTCTTAAAACAATCCAAGTATTTTCAGAAGTGAGAAGAGAGGGGAGTAGGAGGAAAGTGATGCTTGGAAAGTCAAGTGCAGTCCTATCCATTAAAGGCTCAGCAATGGCAGCAGGGGGAACCAGCCTTGTACATCTCAAAAGAAAAATTGGCCCTGGTGTGATCATTGCAAGAAACTGGGTCACACTAAGGACAATTGTTGGATCATTCATGGAAGACCTTCAGAGGCAAAATAGACCAAAAACCTAGACAACAGAGGCAACACAGCTGAGGTAAATTCTAACCCATCTCCATTCAGCAAGGAGAAAATGGAAGCACTACAGAAAATTCTCTAGCAAACAATTGGTACAGCTACAGTGGCACAAAAAGGTAATTTTGTTGCATGTTTTAAATACTAGCAAAGGAAAACCAAAGTCATGGATCATTGACTTAGGAGCCTCAGATCACATGACTGGAGACTTAACGGTGTTTAAAAGCTATTCTCCATGCCTAAATAATTACACAATTTGAATAGCTGTTGGGACTCTTTCTAGGGTCATGGGTAAAGGTTCAGTTATTATCTCACAAAATATTACCCTGAATTCAGTACTTTATGTGTCTAAACTTGACTGTAATTTGCTGTCCATTAGCAAACTGACAAGAGATTTGAAGTGTGTCACAAAATTCTTTCCTAACCTATGTGAATTTCATATTTTGGAGTCGGGGAAGAGGATTGGCAATGTTGAAGAATGTGTTGGACTCTACCTCCTCCAAGTTGAAGAGTCAAAAGCGGAACCCAAGGCCAACTCTTGTGCAACTGTACCTCCAAATGGGAAAAATTTTGTAATGTTGTGGCATTATCGGTTAGGCCACCCAAATTTTATGTACTTGAAAAAAATGTTTCCCACATTATTCAATAAAAATCAAGAGTTGTTTGAATGTGAAATATGCCAATTGTCCAAACATACCCGTAACTCCTACCCGCCTCAACCCTATAAACCCTCTCAACCTTTCTCCCTAATTCACAGTGATATATGGGGACCATCACGGGTAAACAATGTCACTGGATCAAGATGGTTTGTCACCTTCATTGACGATCACACATGGGTCACTTGGGTTTTCCTAATGAAGGAAAACTCAGAAGTTGGCAGAATATTTGAGTTGTTTCATACTATGGTGGAAACACAATTTCAAAGCAAAATTAAGGTGCTTAGAAGTGACAACGGCCAAGAGTATTATCACTCTACACTAAATTCCTACCTTCAGAAACATGGAATCATACATCAGAGTTCATGTGTAGATACCCCTCAGCAGAACGGAGGCCCCGAAAGAAAGAATAGACATCTCCTAGAAGTGACCAGATCTCTCATGTTAGCTTCAAATGTACCCAACCAATTTTGGGGAGAAGCTGTCCTCTCTGCAACCTACCTTATAAACAGAATGCCCTCCCGGATCCTCAACTTTAACACCCCTTATTCTACTCTCCAAACCTCATACCCTACGAGTCATATCCTTACATTCATTCCCTTGAAAATATTTGGATGTTCAACCTTCATCCACAGCCTCAATCCTCGTCGCAACAAACTTGACTTGAAATCCATCAAATGCATCTTCCTCGGCTACTCCCCCCACCAAAAAGGGTACAAATGCTATTCACCCCAAAACAGGAAATTTTACCACACCATGGATGTCACCCTTTTTGAGAATTAGTCTTATTACCCCAAAGTTGGCATTCAGGGGGAGCAGACTTATCCAATTGAAGTGGTAGAATCCCAACTTTTGGGATTTGAGCTAGCTGAATCTGCCCCAAATACAGAGCCAACCAATACTGCACCTACACAAGAGGAAATTACAATAGAAAATGCAGAAAACGTAACAGAATTTTTGGGATTTGAACTAACCAAATATGCCCCAAATGTAGAACTAGCCGAGACTGCACCTGTAGCAGAAACTGAACAGGAAAATGCAGTAGAAATTGCACCAACTGAAGCTAGAGAGAGGATTGCATCTCAGCAGAATCAAATCCTGGCCACACAAGGAGACAACTGAAGGACGTACTTCAAGAAGAGAAGGAAGGGAGTAGAGTCCAGAACAGATCCAAGGCAAAGCCATGAATCCAACCAGGCTCTAGAAAATGAGTTTTCCCAAGGTAATATCATTCCTAATCCTAAACCTATTGATGACATTGACATTCCTATTGCCTTAAGAAAAGGGGTGAGATCTTACACTCAACACCCCATTGAGAAATATGTGTCCTATGGAAAATTGTCACAGGGGTATAGGTCTTTTGTGGCAGCTCTTGACAGCACAAATATCCCAAGAAATGTTCAAGAAGCACTCCAACAACCTGAATGGGCAGCAACTGTAACAGAAGAAGTCCAGGCCTTGGTTAAAAATGGCACGTGGGAAATCACCACTTTATCGGAAGGAAAGAAATCGATTGGATGCAAGTGGATATTCTCCATCAAATACAATGACGATGGTAGTATAAACCGGTACAAAGCTCGACTGGTGGCAAAAGGGTTTACCCAATCATATGGAGTGGCCTACGAAGAGACTTTTGCGCTGGTGGCCAAACTCAATTTAATTCGAGTCATACTCTCTTTAGCTGCAAATTTAGATTGGCCACTCTATCAACTAGACATCAAGAATTCCTTCCTAAACGGTGAACTAGAAGAAGAAGTCTATATGCAAATTCCCTCAGAACTTGAGTCATCCAGAACCTTAAGCATGGTGTGCAAGCTCCAAAAATCTTTATATGGCCTTAAACAATCTCCGAGAGCGTGGTTTGATAGATTGACTTGAGTTGTCAAGGAAGATGGGTTCAACCAATGCCAATCAGATCACACTATGTTTGTCAAACACTCCATGGAAGGGAAGGTAGCCTTGTTCATTGTTTATGTTGATGATATCGTTATCATAGGAAACGATTATGATCAAATCAAGCATCTAAAGGGAATTTTGGCCAAGGAATTTGAAGTCAAGGACTTGGGTCAGCTCAAATATTTTCTAGGGATGGAAATTGCTCGAACAAAGAATGGTATTTATGTATCACAAAGGAAATATACATTGGACTTACTTCAAGAAACCGGCATGCTTGGATGCAAGGCAGCCAATACTCCCATTGAACCAGAAAAGAGAAGTGAAGAAGAAAGTCCACCAGCTAATAAAGATAGATATCAAAGCCTAGTTGGGAAGCTAATCTACCTAACTCACACTAGGCCCGAAATTGGTTTCGCTGTGAGATTAACTAGTCGCTATACGTCTAATCCAACTGAGGCCCACATGAAAACGGCGAACAGAATCCTCCAATATCTCAAAGGTACACCAGGTCAAGGGCCCTACTTCAAAAAGAACTCAAACAAAAGCATTGAAGTCTACACTGACTCAGATTGGGCGGGATGCCCCTCTGACAGAAAATCAACTATAGGTTATTGCTCCTTTGTGTGGGGAAACCTGGTGACTTGGAGAAGTAAGAAGCAACCTGTGTTGGAAAAGAAACATAGGATTCCTTTCATGTTTAGATTTAAATTATATTTTAATTTTTAAACTCTTCAATATTTTTCAATTTACATTTAATCATTAAAACTAAAGGCGGAAAAGTGAGACATGACTTATGAGTTGGTCCACTAGCTAGCCAAAAATTGATAGGTTAGGTTAGATATTTTAATCCACCAATTTGTCTAGTCCACCCTTCCTAGTTTGACAACTCAATAGGCCAAATGGCAAGCAAGGCGAGTTAGCTCGCCAACCCTTTTAATTATATATTAATTTTTTTATAACTTCGTGTGTCACTTTGTATTGTAGTATAGACTTATTACTGAAAGACTACTATTACTTATGTCGTAATTCTTAAGGGTTGTTATAATTTTTTGTTGTTAAAAAACTGAGTAGTAACCTTAATTGAAAAGAATTTAAAAGACTTATAGTAATTTGTAATTTATTATTTTTATTTTGTAGTCTTGAAGTTGAAGGAAAATTTATGTCATTAGTTCTTTGATTAAATTCTTCATTCGCTATTAAAAAATTAAATTTATTAATTTGGATTAATGGTAATATATATATATATATATGTAACA